AGTCTTCAAACTATCTTCTTTTGTGTTCAACAGAAGAAAGAAAAGGAGAGTAAATGATGAACTATCGCTTTAAAATGACAGGAAAAGGAATTTACTCACACAACAAGGTGACACAAAAATGTGTAAATAAATAAAAACGGAATTCAACCAGTAAGAAAAAGCTGTCCTGAAATATTTTGAATATTTTTGAATTAATATTTTAAGATGAAATGAATGTCGTATTATATATTGTATTATCTTTGTATTTTATTTATTTAAAAATGTAAATGTTTTATCTATATTAGTGCTGTCAGTCAATTTAAAAACATGTACTAATTAATCACAAATTTTTTCTGAAATTAATCACGATTAACTGCGATTATTTTCACCTAACATTAAAGTTTTTAAATATACTTTTATATTGCAATAATTTCACATGCAATCTTCAAATTAATGTATAAACAATATAAAGACAGTATATTTTTTTAATTATTGTTTAGTAGAATCTTTTTTTTTTTTATGACTGAAGGCGAGTATCACTGATACCAATACTACAGATGTCCCTATGAAATAAATAAATTAAATGAATTTAACTTAAAACAATCTTCACATAAACCCATTATAATAAATGTTATATTTAGCTACCTGTGCCCCTCAGCAGAAATATACCGAAATTGAATAAAGTTATCAAACACTAAATTCTAAACTAAATACAGATACATACTTACAGCTATATCAGCAAGTAGGAAATATACAGAAATTGAATAAAGTTATCAAAAACTAAATTCTAAATTAAATATAGATGAATCCCTAAAGCTAAGTTATTGAGTTTCTCTTTTTTGTTTTGTTCTTTGTCATCACAGCAGCTGGTTATTAGGCTATTTGGCTGCTATAACTTTAAGAGCTACCGCTGCTCAACGTGACAAGGATCTGACACGCATCGTAATGCCTCATAACCTTTTATATATTATTGCGCTTTAATATGAAATTATATACAGCGCACCGGCGCATTTGTGCGTGCAATTGAAGAGCATGCGCTACGAGCACAGAATAAACGGGTGACAGGACAAGAAAATTAGTTTTTACTGACATATGACCAAAAAAAGATCAAAATTTTGTTAGTTTTTCCTTAAAACAAGCAAAAATATCTGCCAATGGGGTAAGAAAAATAATCTTAATTCAAAGCTAAACAAGATTTTTTTTCTTGCCCCATTGGCAGATATTTTGCTTGTTTTAAGCAAAAACTAACAAAATGTTGATATTTTTTTACACAAAACAAGACATAATATCTTAAGTCATTTTACTTGTACAGTAAATTCATCTTGATTCAAGTATTTTTAGATATTTATACTAGAAAACAAGACAAAAATACTAAGTAAGAGAATAATTTTTTTTAGTGCTGCGTTCACTGCGTTAAATATCTTTTGGAACAAAAATTAATTGCATGTGTTAATACGCTAATTTTGACAGCACTAATCTATATAATAATAAGTAGCAGTAGCGGCGAGTGTAAAGTGAGTGCTGTCTGCAGATCCGAGCCTGTGGTCGGCGGATCACGTGCGTCAGTGGCTGGAATGGGCCGTGAAGGAGTACGGGCTTCCCGAGGTGGACCTGTCTCTCTTCCACAGCATCGACGGGAAGGAGCTCTGCAAGATGAGCAAAGACGACGTCCAGCGCCTGACCAGCAGCTACACGGCCGAGATCCTGCTGTCTCACCTGCACTACCTCAGAGAGAGTGAGTGTGTGTCTGCATCATCGGTTCATCACGACGCTTCATAATGCTCACAGTCACATGACTCACTGCACATTTAACATGCAATAACATGCATACTGGATTCTGATTGGCTGGCAGGTATGCATTAAAACCGTTTAATGCACAGGTAGTTCAATGTCAGTTTAATCACCGTTCTATATTAATGCGCTGCTTTTATTGAGAGAGAGAGAACGGAGATCGCGCTGCGCACACAGAAACATTCAGGAGCACAAAAACTTGTTGTAATTCACACACAGCTGTCATCTCTCTCTTTCTCTCTCGATTGATAATTAATTCAAATAAATGTGATCTTACTGCACTATTTCATCTCTGAGTCTGATTTGAAGCGGGCAGAATGCTAGCACTAACGAGCTGTAACTGATAAAAATAACCATAATTTTTTACAAATATTGTGCTGCAAACATCATTAACAGCTTTAACTTATCAATGCTTGCAAATGACCATGGTATAAGCGGGATAATGCACAGCAAGCTGTGTTATAGCTGTGCGAATCTTTTATACCTGTCCAGGTCATGCTTCCCCCTAAAATCAAATGAGAAAAATATATTTTTATTTTATAATTATATAAAATTGTTGTATTTTACTTTCCTTTTTTAAAGATATTTGTGACCCTGGACTACAAAACCAATCATAAGGGTCAATTTTTTAAAATTAAGAGTTAATAAGCTGAATAAATAAGCTTTCCATTGATGTATGGTTTGTTAGGATAGGACAATATTTGGCTGAGATACAACTATTTGAAAATCTGGAATCTGAGGGTGCAAAAAAATCTAAATATTGAGAAAATCATCTTTAAAGTTGTTCAAATGAAGTTCTTAGCAATGCATATTACTAATCAAAAATTAAGTTTTTATATATTTACGGTAGGAAATGTACAAAATATCTTCATGGAACATGATCTTTACTTAATATCCTAATGATTTTTGTCATAAAAGAGAAATGTTTTTAATATGTTTTATAATTTTGACCCATACAATGTATTGTTGGCTATTGCTACAAATATACCTGTGCTGCTTATGACTGCTTTTGTGCTCCAGGGACACATATTTGAGTTTGTGTTCTGATATAACAATATTACTTACAGGTGTGCTTCATGAGAGGCCGTGTGAGACTGCTTTTGTGTTCCAGGGTAACGTTTTATAATTTTAATAGTATTTTTATATTTTAATTTTATATTTTTAAATTAAGTAAAATTCTAATTATTAAAAATATATGATTTTGAAACTTTAAGTTGGCTTGGAAAAAGCCTAGCCAGAAAGTTTTGCAAAGTTTTAAAAGCTTGCAGTCTGAAGGTTTTCAGTTTGAAGTAGTTTAGCATGTTGATAACATGATTAGCATTTTCTTAGCACATTGCTAGTATGATTAGCTAGTTATTAGCATGTTTCTAGAATGACTAGCATGTTGCTAACATGGTTAGCATGTTATTAGCATGTTTGTAGCATGATTAGCGTAATTAACATGTTATTAGCATGTTTTAGCATGATTAGCATGTTGCTAACATGATTAGCATGTTACTAGCATGTTGTTAGCATGATTAGCTAGTTAATAGCATGTTTCTAGCATGACTAGCATGATGTTAACATGGTTAGCATGTTATTAGCATGTTTCTAGCATGATTAACATGCTGCTAGTATGTTTTTAACGTGATTTAACATTGTAAATGAAAAAAAATCCAGCTAAAAACAAGGTAAAACCAGCTGATTCAATAAAAAAACAGCTAGAGACCAGTTAAAATCAGCTAAAACCAGCTGATTTAACAAAAAGCCAGCTAAAAAACAGTTAAAACCAGCTAATACCAGCTGAGCCAGTCAAAAACCAACTAAGACCAGCCTAGGCTAGTTGTCTAGTCTTAGCTGGTTTAAGCTGAAAGTAGCTTAAGGTTTAAACTTGGTTGGTCTTTTAGCAGGTCTCCCAGCTTGACCTGCTAAGACCAGCCTGACCAGCTAAAAAGTTGCCAAAACCACTTTAAAACCAGCCTGGAAGCAGCCAACCAGCTAGACAGATTAGAAATATTAGATAGAGTGGAAGCTTAAATGAGTTTGAATGGGTTAGAAATAGTACATAGTCTGATGGAGTCTAATGGGCTTCAGTGTGTTTAGATTCGAATTTTTGACAGTTGGAGTTTGAATAGTCTTGGCTCATCTGAACATTCCGTCAATGTAAGTCTATGGGATTTTTATGATTTTTAATCTTCAGTTTTAAGAAAACCGTAAGTCCGATCAGTCTGAAAAGATAAAGCACACTAAGTCAGATCAGTCTGAAGAGCTGGGCTGAGTTTGGTGGTTCTAGCTTGAAATCTCTAGGAGGAGTAGCATTCAGAAATTTAGTCGAAGAAGATGAAGCTTAAATAGAATATCAGTAAGTTGGCTTTTTCAAGCCTGTAAAGTTGTACTCTTTCTTTCAACTTACCTTCGGATGTTTAGTCATGTTTATTTTGTGCTGAAGCTGGTATTAAACAGAATTTGAAATCTGAGACTTTGTTTCATATTAAAAGTACCAAAGCACAATGCTTATTGCGATTTATTGGATGGGAAGTGCCCTTCAATGTTCCATTAACTGAAAACAGGCTACACTAATCGATTCTTGGGATTTAAGAATTGATATCGTTCCGTAAAAATGAGAATCGATTAATATCGAAATATCGATATTTTTTACCCAGCCCTAATTATAATTCATTTCTTGTTGATGATTTTGGGGTGAAACATGAAGACGAGATCAGAGTTCTTAGATATGCATGAGATGAGAGAGAGACAGACGATCCTGTCTGCGGCTCAAACACTGTTTTTATCCGCCATCACACACACAGCATGCATCTATCCTTCTGTCTGTCTGTCTTCATCGGTCTCTCTCTTTCAGTCAGCATCATGTCACAGGATGTTTGATGAGTTGTTTGATTCTCTTTATTTTTCACGTGTCATGGATGTTTTGTTTCTCAGCTCCACTTCCTCACTTGACTTCAGATGATGTTGACAAAGCCTTGCAAAACTCCCCGCGGTTAATGCATGCTCGCAATACAGGTAAGCAGCCCTGTGGCCCCGCCCCTGACTCCGCCCCTGGCCCCGCCCACACCGCTTACACAAACACTGCGCTGCGCTTCCCCTGCTCTTCTGAATGAGATCAGACTGTCAGACATGGCTCTCGCTGATCTGTGTCTCAGGAGGAGCCAGCTTCATCTTCCCAAACACCTACCCTTCAGACGCCAGCAGAGCAGACGTGAGTTTCCACAGCCGGCGCTCTGGATGGACTCAGCCGGCGTCTGCAGCTAAAGGTCAGTCAGAAGCCCATGTGCTGCACACGTTACGCCACTGATGCTCACGATTAACCTGAATGTGTGTGTGTTCATTAGCTTCTCAGAGTCCTGCTGCCATCATGAGCAAAACCCAAGAGCAGAGAGCTCAGTTAGGTGAGAACTGCACTCACAAACACTGACTTTATTTTCATATTCTGTTTCCATTTTAATTTGAGTTAGTTTTAGTGATTTTGTCATTCTTATTAGTATTTTTGTCTCTATAGTTTTAATAATTTAATACACATCTGATTTCTTTCCTAACTGTTTACAGTCACATACATAATCACTATGAATTCTTTTCACAGCTTGTAAGTCGCTTTGGATAAAAAACGTCTGCTAAATGAATAAATGTAAATGTAGCTTAATAGCTCATTTTAACATCATGCACATCCCACACTTTTTTTCCTCATTCATGCATGTTTATTACGCTAAATAGTGGGGGTCAATAGTGAATTATGCAGCAGGATCATAAAAAATGCATTATTTTTTTGATTTTGTGTTATACCTAGAACTACCCTCCAGTTCCCTTTCAGGCAGTCACGTTCGACGTTATGTCAGTAGTGACTGACGAATTGGGACCTTCGCTAGAGAGACCAATCACCTTCGAGTGTTAACAAAACAAGCCAATAAGTGTTGGCGTACGATCTCTGCGTCGCGCGCCCCGCAGCGCGGGTATAGAAGGAGCGCGTGAGCAGATGCACATTCAGCTTTTCACTTCGGAGCCGAGCCTTTCAGCTGGTCTGGTTACCGAGCACTGTGTCTACAAGACAGCGTGTAGTGTTGGTGTTACGGCGTGTCAGCGGGGGTTGCTGGTCCAGTGCTGCTGCTGGTGTTGGACGGCGTGCTGCAGCTCCTCAAACTGTGGTCACGCTGCGACTTCTCCTGGGCGCTTCAACACTTTTTTCCTAAAAGAGCATCTAAAAGAGCAAATGATAAGGTGGCTGAGACTCCGGACAGGGCGGGGTCTATCATCTCATTCGGGCCTCCGGCAGATGACAGGATGTCGATCACTGCATCGGGGGACGAGCTAGGCTCTGGAGATGAGAACTCGGCTGCACTGCCTCCGTCAGGAAGAGTGGCGTTGCCCGAGTCAGATCCAGAGCTGACTACCTTTTTCTGCCCGAAACAGAGCTAGTGCTTCTTCCGTCCTCACTGCCCTCGATGGCGGGGCGGCTAAGGGGTATGTGGAGATCCCCCCAGTCGAGCGCACTATTGCGATGCAGCTCTGCTCGCAAAGCGCCGCTTGGCGGGGTAATCCGCGCCTCCCGTCCAGGGCCTGTAAGTTCTCGTCCGCTCTAACGGCCAAGGCTTACAGAGCTGCTGGACAGGCCGCCTCCGCCCTGCACGCCATGGCCCTCCTGCAGGTCTACCAGGCCAAGGCGTTGAAGCAGCTGCACGAGGGCAGTTCTGACCTTGGGGTAATGCAGGAACTGCGCACAGCGACGGACCTCGCCCTCTGGTCGACGAAAGTCACAGCGCGGTCCCTCGGTCAGATGATGTCCACCCTGGTGGTCTAGGAACGACATCTATTGCTGAACCTGGCAGATATGAGGGAGGCCGTCCGCTCTAACGGCCAAGGCTTACAGAGCTGCTGGACAGGCCGCCTCCGCCCTGCACGCCATGGCCCTCCTGCAGGTCTACCAGGCCAAGGCGTTGAAGCAGCTGCACGAGGGCAGTTCTGACCTTGGGGTAATGCAGGAACTGCGCACAGCGACGGACCTCGCCCTCTGGTCGACGAAAGTCACAGCGCGGTCCCTCGGTCAGACGATGTCCACCCTGGTGGTCCAGGCACGACACCTATGGCTGAACCTGGCAGATATGAGGGAGGCCAACAAACACCGTTTCCTGGACTCCCCGATCTCCCAGGCTGGCCTCTTCGATGATGCGGTGGAGAGCTTCGCCCAGCAGTTCTCCGCTGCACAGAAGCAGACGGAGGCGATCAGACACATCCTGCCCCGGCGGCCCGCTGCTGTCATCACCCCGCCGCCGGCTGCAGTCCCTCCGTCCGCTCGTCGCCGAGGGCGCCCTACTACTGCCTCCACCTTCGCTCCAGCTCGGCCTCAACAGCAGCCTCCACACCGGCCGCAGCGTGGAGCTGGCAGCAGGAAAGCGGCGCAGCCTGTCTCTGCCCCTGCCAGGCCCGTAAAGCACCAGGGCAAGCGGTGTCCCTGAGACGGGCGACCCGGAGACTCTGGATCCTGCTCTTCAGGAGGTGGTGAGGGCACCACTCCTTCCCCCGGAGGAGGGCCGGGTGGAGAATCTTTTGTTTCCTTTTTGTTTTGTTCAAAACCCCAGCCAGTGGTACCCAAACATTCAACAAAAGAGCAGTTTCCTATTTCTCCGGGTCTGAAGAGCGCGAGGATGGGCGAGGATTCCGCTTGTTCGGGTCCTGGGGGCCTGGCTAGCGCTCCCCAGACCGTCTTGCTGGCTCACGAGAACCATCAGACTCGGCTATGCGATTCAGTACGCCCGGCGTCCTCCCAAGTTCAGGGACATTCGGTTCACCTCTGTGCCGAGCAAGGATGCTCCCGTCTTGCGAGCGGAAATCGCAGTCCTACTGGCAAAGGACGCGATAGAGCCGGTCCCTCCAGCCGATATGAATTCGGGGTTTTACAGCCCCTACTTCATTGTACCCAAGAAAGGCGGTGGGTTATGACCAATCCTGGACGAGCATATCAGTACAAGGTCCTCCCCTTCGGGCTATCCCTGTCGCCTCGTGTCTTCACCAAGGTCGTGGAGGCAGCCCTCGTTCCGTTGAGGGAAAGAGGCATTCGCATTCTCAACTACCTCAATGACTGGCTCATACTAGCTCAGTCTCAGGATCTGTTGAGCGAACACAGGGACTTGGTGCTCTCGCACCTCAGCCAGTTGGTCTTTCAGGTCAACTGGGAAAAGAACAAACTCTCCCCGACGCATAGGATCTCTTTTCTCGGTATGGAGTTGGACTCGGTCGAACAGACAGCACGCCTCACGCAGGAACGTGCTCAGTTGGTGTTGAAGCAGGAGGGCGGTTCCACTGAAACAGTTTCAGAGGCTCCTGGGGCATATGGCATCCCCTGCTGCGGTCACGCTGCTCGGATTGCTTCATATGAGACCGCTTCAGCATTGGCTTCACGACCAAGTCCTGAGATGGGCATGGCAACGCGGTACTTACCGGGTCCCAGTCACCCCGTCTTGTCGCCAGACCTTCAGCCCGTGGTCGGACCTTGCCTTTCTCCGGGCAGGGGTTCCCCTAATGCAAGTGTCCAGGCATGTTGTTGTCTCAACAGATGCCTCTGCCATAGGCTGGGGTGCCATGTGCAACGGGCATGCAGCATCGGGCACCTGGACAGGGCCTCGTCTGCAGTGGCATATCAATTGCCTCGAGTTGCTAGCAGTATGGCTTGCTCTGCGCCGCTTCAAATCGCTGCT